TAATTGCAGAAGTCAAACGTGACTTGTATTCATCTTCTGTTATAGGTATATATTGAGTATTACCATTTTAATACAGGTTTTTCCTTTCTTAAAATGTGTGTACATTTTTTTTGGCACCCTCTGTATTTTCATCTCTTTGCTTTTCTGTGCAATTTGAATGGAAAACTTCAAGAAGACATAAGTTTTTCTTTAAATGTGCGCTTGTGTAAGTTTGTCCTGCATAATCACCAGCAGTCTCTTTATGTCCCCTGAGAGGGGACATCAGAGTGGTTTGCTAGATTTATGATGCTGCCTCAGAGAGGACATCTAAGCGCAGAGGGTTAAAAAGCAAGAAAGAACTGTATTGCTACTCAGGAGGCTGAGGTGGAAGGACTGCCTGAGCCCAGGAGGTCAAGGCTGCTGTGAGCCACAATCCTGATGATCGCTCCACTGCACTCCAACCTGGGCGACACAGGGAGACCTCGACTAAAAGAACTGTATTAATTAAGGGAAATAAATGGTCATTCTTTCCAGCTCTAACTTTTGCATTTAGTTGGTCCTTTTTAATCCTACAACCTTCAGAATTGGAAACAGCCTGAATAATTATTTAATCCCAATTCACCATGTAGTTAATCCTTCCAGATAAAACTTGTCAGGTGGTTATCCAGCTTGATTTTCTTTCGACAGATACACACTGGGCACAGCATCTATGCTGGGCACATGCTGGGTCAGGACACAGTGCCAACCGAGACATAGTCAATGCCAAACAAAGTTGAGGAAAGAGCCCCACTCAGAAGGTGCATGGGCTGATACACAAGCTAGTATACAGCCTGAAAGATCAGAAGTCCTCCTTTGTTTTTAAAATGTGCCCATCTTAAGGTGGGCATGGTAGCACGCACCTGTAGTTCCAGCTACTTGGAAGGCTGAGGTAGAAGGATCGCCAGAGCCCAGCAGGTTGAGGCTGCGGTGGCCGTGGGCATGCTTACTGCATTCCAGCCTGGGCGACAGAATGAGACTCCAGCCAAAAAAAAAGTGCCCACCCTGATAACTTCTACTCATTCTTCAACCCTCTCACACACAAGTTTATACTTCAGGGATTTGAAAATGTCACTTCACCAATCTTTTTTTTTCCAGTTCCTTCACCTCACTATTTGAGAGTTTCATGACATTTCACCTTTAAATACAGTTTGTCAGCATCCCTTACAAAAATACAGCAGGCACTAGAATAGGATGCTATACCCCTCATACAGTCTGACTGCAGATGAATGGTGAACCTGTTATCTCACTTGCATAAGGTACCAAATATCTGTTCATCTGGGATGCGTAAAGCAGCTCATTCTTTGGTTTCTCCTCTTCTTCAACAGCCTTCTTCCTTAAATAATCAGCTGGTATCTGTGGACTGCAAGAAAGGAACCAGAGTCCAGGTGGACACTTCCCAGAGGATGCTAAGAATTGCTGAACCCGATGCAAGATTCAGTGGCTTCTACAGCATGCAAAAACAGAACCATCTACAGGCAGACAATTTCTACCAGACAGTGTGAAGAAAGGCAATTTGGGGGAAGTCTCGAAGACAGAAAACGACGAAATCTGCTCTTAAAAGTAAACTAGAGTGTGTGCACTTGCTTAGTGGATTGTATTGGATTGTGACTTGATTGTACAGCGCTAAGAACTTACCGGGATGGGCTCTGTCAACAGCAATGTGCAGAACAAGCATTCCCACTTTTCCTCAAGATAACTGACCAAGTGTTTTCTTAGAACCAAAGTTTTTAAAGTTGCTAAGATATATTTGCTTGTAATATAGCTGTAGAGATATTTGGGGGTGGGGACAGTGAGTTCGGTTGGGGAAATGGGTGGGAGGGTGGTGTTGGGAAGATGAATTGGTCAGCTTGGCTCGGGGAGAAACCCAGTAAGATAGAAGCAGTTCAGTGGCCCAGAGAATCTTTCTTTCCCCCTCGTTGCTCTGAAGACCACACTGGTTGCTGCAAAGCGCAGGCCTGGAGGAACAGGAAACAGCACAGGCCTTGCGACCCAGCTGCCCCAGCCACCTGAGAACTGCCAGACAAGCGCACCAGAACCTTTTGATAGCCATCCCAGGTCTAAAGCCACAAGTTTCTTTTCTATACAGTCACAGCTGCAGTAGGCAGGGAGGAAGCCAGAGAGAGGCGGTCGTGCCAGCTCTCTCAAGCGGGTTATTGAGGATATATATACAGTTAGACTTTTTGCTGCTTTTTTGTTTTCTTCCAAGCCAATCAGCGAGTTCCTAGCAGAGTCAGCAGATGCACAAGACCCAGGTCATTTCTTGATGTGAGCACTGGAGCCTTTCCTCACAGCAGCGTGGCAGGAAGGAGGGGCGGGGGCAGTAGCAGGTGTGTCCAGGGACTGCACCCCACTGTGTGTTGTTGCTTGTTCTGTTGTGCGTTGGGTGTTCACGGTTTTTGTTGAAGCTCTTAAGCTTAAGAAGAAACTTTTTTAAAAAAAAAGACTTTGGGGATTATTTTTCCTTATTATATACTGATTCTACAAAATAGAAACTACTTCATTTTAATTGTATATTATTCAAGCACCTTTGAAGCTCCAAAAAAAATTATGCCTCTTTAAATGTTAGCAATTATAGGAATATTTATGTAACTATCTTATGCTTCAAAAAACAAAAGTATTTGTGTGCATGTGTATATAATATATGTTTGCAGATGTATTATATACACATCCAATTTATGTTTTCCTGTTGAATGTATTTTTATGAGATTTTAACCAGAACAAAGGCAGATAAACAGACATTCCATATCAATGCTTTTGATCACTTACACATTTTTCGAATGACACAAAATCTCATCCCACCTGGTTTCATCGGAAAGATGCGTGTGAGTATGAGCGTGTGCGAGTGTGAGCGTGTGCTTTTGTGTGTGTGTGGGTGTGTGTACGCATACCTTGAGCAGTCAGCTTCGCGCCTGCCATGGAGAAGGGTATTCCTTTATTAAAATCTTCTCCCTCGTTTGGATTTGCTGAGGGTTGGTTTTCAATTCGCTCACTGGCCAGAGACATTGACGGCAGTTTCTATCTGCATCACTAATCAGCTCCTGGATTTTTTTTTTTTTTTTCAAACAACTGTTTGAAACAACTACTGGAATATTGTCCACAATAAGCTGGAAGTTTGTTGTAGTTTGCCTCAAATATAACTGACTGTATACTATAGTGTTAACTTTTCAAACAGCTCTTAGCACTTTTATACTAATTACCCATTTGTGCATTGATTTTTTTTTCTTTTAAAAATGCTTGTTGTGAAAGACACAGATACCCAGTATGCTTAATGTGAAAAGAAAATGTGTTCTGTTTTGTAAAGGAACTTTCAAGTATTGTTGTAAATACTTGGACAGAGGTTGCTGAACTTTAAAAAAAATTAATTTATTATTATAATGACCTAATTTATTAATCTGAAGATTAACCATTTTTTTTTTGTCTTAGAATATCAAACAAGAAAAAGAAAAAGGTGTTCTAGCTGTTTGCATCAAAGAAAAAAAAGATTTATTATCAAGGGGCAATATTTTTATTTCCAAAATAAATTTGTTAATGATATGGTGTTACCAAAATAGATTGACATCAGCCTGATTAGTATAAATTTTGTTGACAATTAATCCATTCCTGGCATAAAAAGTCTTTATCAAAAAAAAAAAAAAATTGTAAATGCTTGCTTTTTGTTTTTTCAATCATGGCCATATTATGAAAATACTAACAGGATATAGGACAAGGTGTAAATTTTTTTATTATTATTTTAAAGATATGATTTATCCTGAGTGCTGTATCTATTACTCTTTTACTTTGGTTCCTGTTGTGCTCTTGTAAAAGAAAAACAAATATAATTTCCTGAAGAATAAAATAGATATATGGCACTTGAAGTGCACCGGAGTTCTACGGTTTGATTTTGTTTTCTTCAAAACACAGACGAGCTGTCAGGGGGTTTTCTGCCACGTAGGTCATGGCAGCAAGGAAACACTGGGAGTCCACATCCTACAATGTAACTTTCAACAGGATTCTGTCTCAGGGATCAGGAAGACGAACTGTCCTTTTACGATTGTCGGTCCAGGCCCTTCTGGTGTTACTCGGAGCCATACTTCTTCAGTAGACAAGTCTTCCCCAAGGAACCCTTGCAGAAAACAAAAAGGGCCCAGAGTACGTGGCGTGGGGATCCCGTTTTTGGGAAACAAAGAAACCCTACTTGCCATCAGTCAGATGCGCTGGTCGGTAGTATAGACACCAAGGGCCATGTGGGAAAAGCCTGAAGTGGCTTTCCTGCTGAGGAAGAAAGAGCTCCCCAAGCAAAATCAGGGAAGCCTGACAACAGGGGGCTGAGATGATAGGGAAAAAAGAGGTCCATTCTCATACACTTCAGAAACATCTACTTAAGAATGAACTATACACAGACCATTGTTGAATCTCAAGGAAAATAGCCCCCCAGGACTTTTTCTGTGTTATATACCCTTTAAAGTTTTATTTCTTCAGACAAGGCATAACTTTTACAGATTCAGATCAAATTAAATTATGAATTATTAAGTGTGCATCCTCACCAATCATGGGGAGGGGGCAGATACGTTCCATATAGGACATCAGACAAGGAAACCAGCCCAAGTCTCCCATCCCCCCGGATAATGGCTAAAACGCCAAGCAGACGCCAAACTTCAACGGAGCTCCTGCTTTTGCAGTCATGGTGTCTCCATTAGGGTAGAGTGAAGAACCCACATGGCCCCAAATGTTCACACAGGCTAACATGGAAATAAAAAAGTCCCCTAGGAGCAGGACCCATACACTAGTCAGGCCATCTCAGGGAGGGAGCTGCGTAGCTGTTTGGAATGTCTCAGCCCCAGAAAAGGAGCAGGACGTCTGTCCTCCCACAGAGCTCAGCACAGTCTGGACAAGTCCTTATCTCCCCTGCTTGGCATCATGGGGTAGCCAGGGTTTCACAGCTCAGTGGAGGGATGGATTCCACATGGAATTAACACCCCAGAATAAGGCTCACAAGCACATGCTACTTTTTCCTTTTTTTTTAATTTATTAAATGCCACTGACTTGATTGGAACCAGCAAAAGTGCTCAGGACTCGTAATGAATCCATGAGTAGCTGTTTCTAGAATTCGTACATTAGAAAAATACACAGGCATGAATAAAATATAAGAAACACAATACTGGAAATGGGCAGTTCTGCAGCACATGCTTTCCTAAGCACCTTAGAGAACACAAACTTGTGAAGCACAATTATTTACAGACACATGAAGCAGAACGTTCAAACATCTAAAGTTAACACGAGATTCTGAAAGTGGATGGTAACTTACGCTTAACATTGGAACAATGGTGAAACAAGCAGCAAGCTATCAAATCGGTCATCACTAACGGTTTCCATGTTCACTAAGTATTAAGCCAAAGTAATGCATATTCTGGTCTTGCTTCTTCAAGAACAGGCTCAGACTGTTAGGTTTCCATCTCTGGACAATACTGGTAGGTAATACAAAGTTCGTGCATAAAAATCAGTGCTGGCCCCTGCCATCATTTAACTTATAATACAAATCTCCCAATGCTTTATTTAATCTAGGTCTTCAGTGCAGTTGAGGTGTAGAAAGCCATAAAAACAAGCGGGCATACCATCAGTTCATGAAAAATACTTCACATGCACAGTTAATATGCTCCTTTGCTCTACTGAGAGAACAGTTCATGATTATTAGTAGATTTAACAAAAGCCATCTCTAGAATTCAGAATAGTGCCCATGTTTCTCTTGGTTCTATAATATAAAGAATTAGTGAAGTCATGATCTATTAATACTGAATCACAAACCCAAGTTCAAGTGTGCTGAGTTTCCAATAGCAAGAAGGTCATGGTCACTGGCTTTCAGAGTGACGCTGTGGGAAATCTAGCTTGGAGTCCATGGAAGGTAACGCCGCTCCTGAAGGGTTGCTGCTCTATGTAGGACACAGAACTGGAGGATGAGAGAGCAAGCTGTTAGGGCAAAAGGCAGTTTTTGTACACACACACTATATACATCTTACATGTATATAAAAAACACCATTGAGTAATAAGGATAGTGATGCAAGGAGCTATAGTAGCAAGTTTTTAAAAAAGGTTTTAAAAGGCTACACCCAACAAGGATAAGTTCTCTCAAGACACATTTATGAGAATTTCCCAGAAATGAGACACCAAAAAGCCATGTCCTTGGGGTACCCCTTGGCGACAGATGCCCCTAACATCAGCCCTCTGCTATGAGGCTTGTGGCACAGCAAACAGGCTCCCTGGTGAAGTCAAAGAAGGATGTGAGTCCCTGCACACATTTCACTCCCATCTGAGATCGGCGGGCAGCAGCAGGCTGAACTGTTGGGGCAGCAGTGGCCGCAGGCTGGGGCAGGATCCTTACGCAAGAAAAGCCCGTATGGTGCCATCCTGTCTCTGTCCACCCAAATGAGGCCCTTTCTACGGTCTTTCACTTCTGACCTTTGCATTAAAACTAAGGTGGCACCCTTAGGAAGCCAAGCCACACTCTGTGTTAAAACAGTGATAGAGTCCAGCCAACAAGGAGGAAGGAGAGCTCTCCTCTTGAGCAATTCCTCCCTCCCAGGCAACGTGTCCTATTACTGGTCCCCAAGGGAGATGAACAGTCAACAAATTTTCAGGCTGGGTGGAAAAGAGCATTTTCAGTGACCCCACACTAGCACCTTCCCACACACTTGGATACCTCCGTGTCACACGCCCTCTGTCTGTTGGGACTCCAGAGTCTCTGATGTAGTCTGAGTCCTGACTTCTTTTCCACCCAGCCCCCACGACACAAAGCCAAGACAAGAACCACAATACATGCAAACACACAGCCCATGGGAAGCAGAGCAGTAGGGACAAGGTGACTTAGGAACAGGAGCCACAGGAGAGCAGAATGAGATGGGTACTTCCCTGAGGCATGCAGGGTAGGTGGGGTCACAGTTACAGTCCTAGGTTTTGCCCCTAGAACACTCTCCCTTGGGCCATATCATCCTTCTAAGCTAGAGAAGGCTTCAGAAGTCCATTCTCTCTCCAGCCCCCATGGCACTGCCCCAGGGACCCACTAGTTAAAGTGAAGACATGTTCTTTGTGTTCGTCTCATTCCTGTTTCACATCTAAAAGAACAAACCTCAGAACAATCCAGCTCTCATACCAATGCTAGCACAACACAAAAGCAAACAGAGATGTCAGGTATTAAAGAAAAAAATTCAGAATTTAACAGGGAGAAAAAGCCCTGCATCAGAAAAACAGCTGGTTAAAAAACAATGTCAATTCACCCAGGGTTAACTCACTAGCAGCCGGCTCATGTCCTTAAACCTGCATCAAATCTCTTACATGTGATACTTATTCACTTTGAGGGCCCTTGTGTACAACTGAGGCTCCCCTTTATTCAGCTACAGCTGAGAAAAGTCCCATCAGAGACATCTAATGTCTCAGAAATCCTAACCATCCTTGTGTTTGCTGGGCTAACGCTAATGGAGAAGAGAGAAACCCAAAGAAAAAAATGTTACTTGCAGACTGCTCTCAAAATGTGACCAGACAACAAAAGATACATTTTGCAGTGATTCAAAAACCTGGTGCCTGCAAAACTAACTGCTTCTTTTAAAAAACAATTGCACTGAAAAGTCTTCATTTTGCCTGTAATACAGTAAGTTCTTCGGTCCCCTCTTTATCATGCAAATTTTGCCTTCTTCAGCAAAGTAAACAACTCAAACACCCACCTTTTGACTCCTCAATAATCTCATCCTGCGTGGTGTTGATCTCATGCCTAAGATTTACAGCTGCTTTCTCACTGTCTTGGGTTTATGAAAGTCTGCTCTTTTTATTCTCCCCCCCCCCCCCCCCGCCGCCGCAACCGCTCCCCGTTCCTTAAACCAGTCCCTTCTGTGTTCACTTTGACACTTCACAGATGCGACTGTTCCTTTCTTCATCTATTCCCACCATCAATCTTTCCTTCTTCCTTGCCCACTGTCCCCGAGATGACAGAGACCACCTTTCCCCAATCTCCCAGTGTCAATGTGCTGACACCCAACACCCATAATTATGGCATGGTTTTACCAATGTTCCTCTACAGCCCTCCTCGATGCTTAGAATTTAGCTGTGGAAATTATTTCCAGCCCAGGACTGCAAATATAAGTTAAATTTTGCATGACTGTAATTTATAAAATTGGTAGCAGTCAGTCGTATCTCTATTCCCACGCTGCACAATAGGAATAATAAGAGCTGTGTATCTGGAAGTTAGTTTTTAACCTATTATAAGAAGATGAAGCACTTACTGACTAATCGAAACTTCCCAGTCATTGCACGCATGCCATTACAAAACTCACCTTTCAGTATATAATCAGTTAACAAGCTCGGAACTTTTTCACTGTCCTCCTTCATGGCACAAAGAACTGTAAAACAAAAGAGAAAAGGAAAAAAGACAACAGCTAAAAATTCAGATCAAAAATAATATTTCATTTCAATCACTGCAGCCTTATTCTTTCTTAATTAGATGATATAACTGATGCGTGCAAATTGTAGCTGATTTCCCTGATACGGGAATACCCCTAGAATTTAGTTGAGTAAGTCCTTAATTAGGTAAGACTATCCCACCTACCTGACAGTTATCTGCCTGGTTTAAAATCTCCAATCAATGGAGGCAGGAAAGAGGAATCAGGTTGTTTATCACCATAAATATGAAAAGTGGGTGGCTGTAATGTGCACCTCAGTGAATGAACTCTGTGTAGCAGGAGAGCTCAGTGTGGCAGATCTAGCAAGCTGGAGAAACTCTGAGGTCAGTGAACAGTCAGTTATACCCACCCAGGAGCACACCTGTCAGACTTCTTGGAAACTTTTAAAGAAAAGACTAAAATGAAAAACAGATGTCCTGGAAGCAGCCCCAGGCTCTCTACACCTGGAGGAACCTGGGAGATCCGGTCGCATCCTAAAGGAAATCTTTGACAATTTTATCATCTAACTAAAGACCAAATAGGAAAAAAAAAGAAGTCATTTAGTATAATGCTTTTAATTTTTTTTTTATCTAGACCATCCAGATAGAGATAAAACTCACAAGCAGATCTTGTACTTTAATAGTGAGTGTCGACTCAAGCTTTCTCCAGAGAATCCTGGTGAAAATCTCATTGTTGTCCCTAGACTTAAGACAAGGCAATGCACTGTAACTGTCAAGTCAGTCTTCCTGGATTTAAACCCTGACTTAGCCACTTCCTAACTGTGTGATGCTGAGCAAGTTACTAAGCCACTCTTGCACCAAGTTCTTCTAAGAAATGAGAATAATAATTAGATCTATCTTCAAGACTTGCTATGAGGATTAAGCCACTCATTCAGATACAAAGGTCTTACACCAGGGTCTAGCACATGGAACATGCCATGTAAGTATTAGTCATAACTAACACTACTGATATTATTAAAATTCTTATTACTATTATTATTGTACCAAAAACCCTACTAACAGCTTTTACAAGGAAGACTGCACATATATCAACACTGTGACTGTCTTCACAGGGCAATTATTTGAAAGGAAAAGCATCTTTGAACCCAAAGATTCCAAACCGCGTCAATCTATGAAGACATCTTGATGACGGAACTTCTATGACTAGTTTGTCCAAGTAAGTGCCTCTCCTGGTCTGAGAAGCTGAGGTCAGCCAGTCATTTCTGTGACTGTGAGCAATATTTATGTTCCCTTCTCTAGAGGGATACTATGTTCAGTATTCCGCTTCCAATCATGTTTTAGATAAAATTCTGCATAAAATCACCTATCAAAAGCCGGCATTATTAAAAGTACAGTTGCTTGGGAATTGGGAGACCCGGCCCTATAATTAACCATTCCCCTGTGTGATGTTGGACACTCTTAACTTCATGACTTCTTCCTGAAAATTAGAGGGCTGGTCACCCACTTAATCTCTTGATTATTTATTTCAAACTAACTGGCATCACTTGATTTATTCATATTTAAATATAAAATGTTCTTTAAGTATCATTCACCAAAGGAAAGAATAAAAGCTCCAGGTTGGCAGGCAAGAACTACTAGATAAAATTCTTCTTCCCTCGCAGGCTTCCCCGATCTATTCCTCCAAGTCCTGAATTTCCAAAATTAACATCATCATCAATACACATCCTTAGGCCAGGTCCGGTGGCTCACGTTTGTAATCCTAGAACTTTGGGAGGCTGAGGCAGGAGGATCACTTGAGTCTAGAGGACCGGCCTGGGCAACACAGCAGAACCTCATCTCTACAAAAAAAATCCAAAAATTACCCAGGCATGGTGGTACATGCCTGTAGGCCCAGTTACTCGGGAGGCTGAGGTGGAAAGATCACTTGAGCCTAGGAGATCGAGTCTGTGATCCTGCCACTGCACACCAGCCTGGGCGACAGAGTGAGACCTTGACTCAAAATAATAATAATAACAGTAGTAATTATTTTTTTAAAAATCTTTGTCCTGCTCTTTTATGTGGCTCCCACCAATTAGCAATAAAAACCTAATAGATCTGCAAGTCCAATCCTTCCATTTCAAGGGCAAGGAAAACAAGCTGATTGACAGTAACATAGACCAAATCATGCATATGTTAATTGACTTACTATGAGATAAACAGAGCCAATATTTTTTACCCTGGGTTTTCAATGCAAGCAAGAGAGGATAAGTGACTTCCAAGGATAGTCCCGAAAATAACAGGAAGAAAACCCAAAATCAGGGCTCACTGATGGCCATCACAAGAGATATTCAACATTAGTATAGTGAAATCATAACAATTTTTTTCCAATGCAGACCCTTGAAACAGAGCATCTTCAATTGTTTTGTTCACTAAAGTATCCCAAGTGCCTAGAACACAGCTGGCACGAACAGGCCTTTACTAGATACTGCTGAAGGAATGCATGTTCTGCAAACATTACTAGCAGTGTAAGTTCAACTATAACCACTACCTTGGGTTCTATATTTATAAGAAATGTCAGTGTTCACCCTACCTCTTTCCAATTCAGTTACTGACAGTCATGGATATATAAGATCCATAAAGTATTTTATTTATTGATACATAGATATGTCTTAAACATACAAGAGATGACAGAGACCTGAGTTATATTTTTTCCCAAAATTTTTGCTCATAAATATTTCAAAAGGTAAGAACAACAAACAAAAGAAATACAAATCAACACCGGAGTAGGTGTTGTATTTGATGTCACCGCCATTTTTTGTTTCATTTTCCTAAGAATAAATTATGGCATCCATCATTTATGATCCTAACTTGACAAAACAAAACATCAACAAAATCAGCCAACTGAAATCAGGTGTTTAAGAATCAGCAAAAGTAAATCACATAACATTTAACTTTGTCTTTGCTTACTTTTTGTTAATATTTGAAGATCTTCAACAGATGGTGCTCCGTTTTTTTTCTCGTAAGGAATGACTGTTGTCAAATACTGCCAAATTAAAAAAAAAAAAAAACAATTTACTTAAATCTGAATTACTTTATCTGCAAAGAAAAAAAAGTGACAATTACTAGAAAGTCTGTCTTAGAACATGACACAGAAGCAACTTTAGCAATGAAAGCACAGGTGCATATGGGAGTGAAGGATGTATCCTGCTACTCTGGCCAGAGCCCATTTCTTTGCCCACCTCTATTTGTTTCAGGCAAACCTAGTGTCCACATAAATCACCGCTGTTTTGCATTTCGGTTATTGACAATTTCACGGAACAAGGCCTGAGGATGATTAACTCAATTTGTTCATGTTTAAAGTCTTATCTATCATTCTCCTTACATATTTTTCAACACACTTTAAAAACAGTAATTTAAACTAAAAACAGAGTCTTAATAGTTCTGCACAACAACATAATTTCCAACAGCCAAATCATTCTAGTTCAGACCATTTTTATTCTGTTTGAACAAAATGGACAACATCAACTTTATGGTCAACAAAAACTGTAAAAAACACATGCTAGCTAGCTTCCAGAAGCTAACAAACATAGACTCAAATAATTTTAGAAATGTATTATTCCTATTATTTGAAATTATTGTGTAAGTAGTTTAAAATGTTTTTTAGGTATTAAAAGAGGAGAGAAAAGTAAAAAGACTGGCCTAAGGGAAAATAAATAACAAAAGCAATGTCTGAAATGGAGCCAAACTGCCTAGTTCACTGTAATCCCAGCACTTCGGGAGGCCGAGGCAAGAGGACTGCCTGACCCCAGGAGTTCGAGACCAGCCTGGGCAACTTGGCAAGACCTTGTCTCTACAATAAATCAAAAAATTAGCTGGGCGTGGTAGCGCATGCCTGTCGTTCCACCTACTTGGAAGGCTGAGGCAGAAGGATCGCCGGAGCCCAGCAGGTCAAGGCTGTGGTGGTGGTGAACGTGCCACTGCACCCTAGCCTGAGTGACAGAGTGAGATTCTGACTTAAAAAAAAAAAAAAAAAAGACCTCTAAAGGTTCCCAAGTAACAGAGCTATGTCTCATAACTATCCCCCATGAAAGCATAACCTGCAGATGACTGTCCAGATTCTCTTATTTTGACCACCCCATCTATATGTATAGTTCAAGGCATTTCAGTTCATGGAGAAAGCTAGCGGCTTCTGCTTGGAATCTCTTCAGCCCCTAAATCTTAGCTCTCTTGCTAATCCTCACTGAGTGGTCTTATCTCACCCATAATTGAAAAGCAAGATAAAGAAAGTTGCTTAACAATAACTGGATCCCTAAGTCCAGAACAGTAGTCAAACCGAATCGTTCAATCTTTAAGAAACTTAGTGTTCCACCATTCTTTTAATGTGGACTTCTCCAGGGCAATGCTCACTTGTATCACTGAATGTTTCTTTGGAAAGAACACCAGCAAAAGCCAGAAACATGCCCTCCTGGGGCTTCCCTCATAGCGCATGCGCCAGGCAACTTGGAGAAGCATCAGGAAGCCACACTTTGGCACACAGGCTATCTGGCGCACTTCCAGGCCTCCCTGTCCAGCTCCCATGTGTCAGGTCATTTTGGAAGTTATCTTGCCTTCTTGTGGGTTGAGAGAGGTGAGAGGCACCAGAAAAACAACAGAAACCCAACCATGCCTTCATGGAGCTGCAAATGTCAGTGTGAACCTCCGTCCTCCATAGCAATGATTTCCCTTCCAGAGAAATTCACAACTCGCTTCGGTGAAAGCTCTAGGTATTCTTTTGACCAACTGCCTACAAGCCACATTCTGCACCTTCTTAATCTTCACTTAAGAAGTAACTTAAAGAGCTTTCTTTTCTAAAGTGAAAATTTCAAATGTTGAAAGGTCATTTGAAGCACACTCATTACATCTGTAGAGGTGCTTCCCATGTTCGTGGTGTTCCTTAAAGCAGTATACAAAAATGTAAGTTAAAAAAGCAAATGGCTAGACAATTAGCTATAGTATATTTATATATGATTTTGCATAATTAATGCCTCATCTGGCAGATAACTCAGTTGTCTGACTACATAATATTCCTTTAAAACACATAAATTTCATTAAAGAAGATAAGATATACATTATACAAATTTTTTACCTTGAACTTTAGTCTCAAACATACCAACATCTGGCCTTCTTCCCCTAAAAGCAAGGTCTTATTTCTTAGACTTTTAGAATTAGAGTAGCATGTTCTAGTTATTTTCACAATCAGATTTTTCTATACATGCAATATAGTATGTCAATATGTTAATATCTATTTGTTTAAAGGCAAGAGTGAGAAATGAAGCTCTAAAACACATCTTAAGAATGCATTTAGTCTATTGTCCAATTTGAAAAATGCTTTTTCCCCAGAGGGAAATTCTGCTTATTATTAGCAAGACTGAAAATATAATGAACTGTCATTTCTCTCTTTTAAGCAATGGTCTTAGTAAATTAGTCAAGTTGCCAGCCTTCAGGATCTTCACTTACACAGAAAACAAACAAGCAGAGAATGAGGAAAATAAGGATAACCGAGCACCTGTTTCTCTCCACCTGAATTTCCAAAGGTGTGGCGGAGCCCATTCTGAATGACATGGGAGATCCCTTCCATGCTGAAGCGCTAAAGGCAGCGACATACGGCCCGGAAGAAAAGGACAGAGAAAGAAGTTCAAAGACTATTAGTAAGAATGTACCATGGTGACTTATGTGCCCGAGAGGCAAGCAGTTAGAAAATGCCCTACTCATCCAGACAAAGCAGTCAAAACCATGCTGTTTTAAAAGTGATTTTGCTCCCAATTCTTTGTAAGTCAAATGCCAAGGCAACTGCTTTAATGCTACTGCATTCATGAAGATTCTTCCCGACTAGCTGATAAATATGTTCGTTCCAACATAAACACTATAAGTTGTATACGTATTTGTTCTAGACACAATTTACCTTGTCATTTTTAAGATACCTTCTGATTATTTACATACATTTTATCAAAAGTCTGAAAACTTCACATGAACAGTATGCATACTTTCAGCCTAAGTGGGTATAATTCTACTATCAGTTTAGAGAACATGAACATAACATTTAGCAAATGAAGACGCTGCTCCTTGGAGAGCTGAGAGTTGCTTCCCACTCACTCTCCAGGCCGCCTGCCATCATCGCCTTGGTAGAGAAAATGCGAATTGGAAGACGGCATACGATTCCTGGAGTGCAGAGTTGATCCCATTTGCCAGCTAGGCCCCCAGAAACTTCTGCAGACTTTTCCACTCCGTTTCTAGGAAACAATTCTCACTTCTTTCTCCCAGCAACCTCCAAGACTTCCTAGAATTCTTTGTACTGAAAAGGGAACGTTTTTTCCTGAGCTACTTATCTTGATTTGTAACCTGTCTACAATGTCAACAGGCACGGTGAAAAGCGTCCGGTGGCACCTTCATGGCGGCTGAGTCAAAAGAGTGAGACGGAGTCTTACAGCATGACTAATTGAGGGAAAGACATCATGAAAAGGAAGTTGAGACCTGATTCAGTGGCTGGTTCCTTTCCCTGAGATTTTATAGGGGGCATTTAAATCAGTAAACACATTTCAGGAGTCAACATAAAGAATTTCTTACCAGGCCACAAGAAGTAGAAGAAAGGAAACCAAGGCAGTAGTCTCTGCCCTCAAGAAATGTATAGTTTAGTCCAGTGGTTCTCAAAGAGTGGTCCAAGGACACCCCTCAGGGGGTGCCTGAAATCCTCAAAGTATCTTCTTAACTTCTTAATATTACTAAGATGTTACTTGTCTTTTTTTTTTTTTTTTTGAGTTGGAGTCTCACTCGGTCACCCAGGCTGGAGTGGAGTAGCATGCTCACAGCCACCCCAGCATCAACCTGCTGACCTCCGGTGATCCTTCTGCCTCTGCCTTCCAAGTAGCCAGAACTACAGGTGTGCGCTACCACACCTGGCTAATTTTTTGATTTATTGTAGAGATAAGATCTCACCAACATGCCCAGGCTGTTCTCGAACCTGTGGGCTCAGGCAATCCTCTCACCTCAGCCTTCCAAAGTGTGGAATAATTTGTCTTTTTACGCTCATTTCCTCTGATTTAGAGTGAAATATTCCAAAGGACAACTTTGATACAGAAGCAGATTTGAAAATCGAGCTGTCTTCAATTAAGCTAAATATTAGTAAGATTGATTAAAATGTGTGATAACATTTTTCTCACTAATTTTTAAAATACAATTATTTTTCACTAAAATACACTATTTATATAAGAATTGATAAATCTATGATCGGTATGTTCAATGAATTAATATTTTTAAGTCTTATCAGCTTTAATTTCTAATACAGTAAATATTGACAGATACAACCTATATAAAACTAAAACTTTTGGGAGTCCTCAATAAATTTTAAGAATGTACAGAAGTCCTGACAATAAATTGCTAAGAAACACCAAAAGATCTAGTCCTTGGAGAAGTTAACTGTGTGTCTCTTTAGCAGTCACATAACTCTGCGAATTTACTGGAAATCTATTACCAAATTTTACCATCTTGTAGCAGCTCATACAAATAGGCCTCTCCTCCTAAACCATCCATCTTCCCACTACAGTCTTTCCCAGATTTGCAAGCCAGTTTTGTTTTAGCAAAAATCAAATGTCTAGTCCAGACACTTCAACAGCCATTCTTTACTTCTCTTGGGGCATAACCATTACTAATGACGGAGGAGGCTACTTTTAAAAGAAAAACCTGCAGATAACTATCTTTGTATATTTTTCCCATGCTCATAATTCGTTCACATTTTTAAAACAGATATCAAAAGAGATAACATCTTAGGCTCCAGAGTTTACAATAAAAATTATGGGAAACTATTTTCATATAACCAAGTCAGTTCATTTTTTTAAAAAATCCTTTCTAGCAAATATACGGTATTTCCTTTCAAACACAACAAAGAGAAAACTACTTGTTTTTAAGTACTCAGTCGGTATTACTTGGCTGCATTATCTATGGGCATATTAAAACGAGGTATAAATTCATAAAGTCTCAAACAAGATGAAAAGTTTTAGAGTCTAGACATCAGGAAACTAAAATACACTTATATTTGGGCAGTGCATTCCCAAAATGCCAGCTTAATTTTCCTTATTGGAAACCTAATGTCACTGGGGGAAAAAAAAAAGTGATGCTAAGTTTGAAATTCATAAGATACATACATCATTTCGGTTTTCCCAGTGAAATGTGCAGTTGTGGACATGCATTTCTACTACTGATTAGCCTGACTGCTTGTGAAAGATGGATTCCAGGCAACCTGAATTCTAGGCGTAGTGGACATAAGTGAAAATGCAACCAGGGAAGGCCCGGGTCACTTGCAAAAACACAAAACTAACAGCAGATGCTAGTGAAAGAAGTTCAAAAACTCTCTGAAGAAGCCCTTCCCTTCCCTGGCTGCTGATAGCTGCTGAGTCTGTAGCAGCAACCAGCAAGGCCCCCTGCATCCAGAACGCTCGCTGGTGACCCAGGGAGGCAACATGGCAGGCTGGGAGCTTCCACTGCCTCTTATTCCACTGGAATATCACAGAACAAGAAAATCAGAAGGTTCTACAGAGGAAACAAGGAAACAAACTGAAAGACATGCCTGGGAACGGTCCCCCACCGCATGCTCTGGTGGCCGCCTCTCTGGTAGCCGCCCACCCCAGACTCACACAGTAACAGTTTCTCCCTTCACTGCATTTTTGGATCCTCTGTCTCTAGCAGCTCCTTCCCAGCAGCAACTTTAAATTCACAAACCATCAACCCATCTCGGTCCCACAGGGTTTCCTGAAATAGCTCTTCCCAACATCATTTCTTTGACAGCAAGTCCACAGCCACTGGGTCACCCAGAAGCCCTGTTCCCTGGAGTCCTTCCCTGGGTACTGAGACACCACACTTTCCAGACCTCCCCAGTTCTCTGGCTGCTTCTTCAGAGACGCACCACTGACTTCACTCAACCCTAGGAAGCCAGGGTCCCCAGGATGCTGTGCTCTTTCTTCACTTATCCTTCATACACTGGCATCCAGCAGGATCTTGTTCCGATTTTTTTCCTCACGCACATTCTCTGGGCCTTAGCCCTCAATATTTTCAACTTGTGCCGCCCTAAATCAACAACTCCATAAAATGCTTGGAACAGAGATTGGCACACAGGAAGGCTCAGTAAATGCGAGCCATCTTTATCGTCATTTCCCTCTTGGGCTTCAGACTTGTATGTTGACTGGCCAAGTGGACATCAGTACCTATTGGATGTTTCAAGGCCTCCTGGACATGTCTGTATTCTGATCTTTATTTCTAAACCTCAACATATCCAAAATTGAATTCCTCCTCCTCTTCCCACCAAAACACACACACAATAAAAACTGTTCTTTCTTCAGCATTGTCTTCTCTCTCTGATTCATTAACTCACCCTTGCAAAAAGAGATTCCGAGCCAGATACTATTCCAAGTACAGTAAGTGTCCCATATATGAACGAGTTCTGTTCCGAGAGCACGTCCCCAAGTCCAACAAAGCCTAAGTACCCAACAACTAAGACAATCAGCTATACTAGCTACCTCACTGTTGCTTTTATGCTTGCCTCCAGACATTTGAACTTGAAATAAAGATATCGTACTGTTGTTCTCTATTCAGTGCTGAACAATAAAGTACACAAAAGCAAAGCTACTTGTAGAGGATGCTCACATGTGAACATGTACGCCAGACACGTGGACTAACTTACGGGATTGAACATGCGAACACGTTTGCATCTTTGAAAGTCCACAACTTGAAGATCCGTATGTAGAGGAATTACTGTATTAGAGATTCAGATAACACATAAGCCAAGACCCCTCCTATACTTACGTCCAGCGTAAGGCGGCACAAAAAGTAAAACATGTGAGGGCCAGAAAAACTGAATGCCATGTTTTTGTTTTTGTTTTAGTCTGGGTCTCTCACTCTACTGTCCAGGCTGTAGTGCAGTAGCACGATCATAGCTCACCACAGCCTCGACCTCCTGGGCTCAGGCAATTCTTCCTGAGTAGATCCTCCCTGAGCCTCTCAAGTAACTGGGACTACAGGTGCACGCCATCACACTTGGCTAATTTTTTTTATTTTTCTGTAGAGAAAATGTCTTGCTATGCTGCCTTAGACTGGTCTTGAACTCCTGAACTCAAGCAATCCTCCTGCCTTGGCCTCCCAAAGCGCTGGGATTACAGGAGGGAACCACTGCGCCTGGCCTGGATACCATTTTTATACCAGGAGGTCAGAGAAACACTCTCTGACAAGATGACACTGGATCCAAAACATGAATTATGCACCCATCCCAGACGAGCCACAAAGGACAACAGACAAAGGAGATCTTCTCATAGAACAAAGCCAAAAGCAGTTGAACTGGCCAACTGGGCGCTCCCTCTGCAGCCCATGTGCAGGGGTCTTGTATCTCATATCCAGCAGAATGTGACATTATCACTATAGAGTGTATCCACTCTCCCTTCCACTAATAAGAAGTTTCTTGTAGCAGCAGCCCTGTTCTCCCTCCCTCTTGGGTGCTGTAAGCATTGCAGTGGCTGTGCTCTTAGACCACAGGGGCAACATCCAGTGCTGATGGGAAGGGCAGACAACTCAGACAGGATGCTGGGCTAGAGTCTGACACAGTCA